ACTTTTTTTATCATCAACATCTATTCCTTTTTATTACATGTCATAGCTTGGATGTCCCAATTATGGTTTGAATAAGGTACATGAGGAAAAACTAACAGGGTCATATATTAAGAGCTAAAAGGGACCGTTGCAATCATCTCCTACAACCCCACCTCATTTTTACCAGTAAAAAAAAAGTGAAATGCAATGAAATGAAGGGATTTCTTCAAGATCACATAGGTAAAGAGTGATAGAGACAGGAACTGAACCCAGTGTTCTTGGACCCAACATTGTACCATGTTGCTTCTACAGAATGTAGGGTTAATCGTACTCTGGAAATAACCAATGTTTCCCAGTTATTTCTTTTTCCCCTTCAGACCTGTGATGATGTTGGTGTAGACAACATACCCCCCCCCCAAGGAAAACCTCCCTACCAATGCAAATTGGCAAATGTTCTGCAATGTATAGACTTAGAGAATTGCGTAGGGGCACTGGAAAACTAATGGACTTGCCCAGGGTCATATAGCAAATATGTGCCAAAGGCATAATTTAAACTTAGGTTGTCTAGACCCTGAGGTTAGTTCTTTATCCGTGTTGCCTCTCTACCTAGTGAATATATAGAAGAAAACATACCAAATTAATACATTATTTCTAAAACATATGGAGAAGCTCAGATGTATCTCTCTCCATTCTTTAAAAAAATGAAAGGCTACCATTCCATCTACTAAAGGGACTAGGAATGAATAGTCAATCCTATTCTTAGGACCAAATTTAGCATCACATAGCAACTGGAAACTAAGATACTCACTAGATATAGTATAAGGACAAAAAGACCCATCCAAGATCACTGAGACTTTACTTGCAAAGGTAGGCAACCAGGAATATCATGACTAGTATGCCACTGTCCTACCCAGACTGAAATGGCATCAAACAAGTGGTTCATAGGGTGTATTACTGAAAGAAACCTTAAAGACCATTTAGTCCAAATCCCTCACTTTACACAAATGAGACAATTGAGGCCCAGAGAGTTAGAGACTTTGCCTAAGCACACACAGATTTTAAGTAGTAGAGGCAGGTTCTCTAACTCCAAATCCACTGCTCTTTCCACTACCTCAAACAGTTGGATTATAAAAAAGAGTCACAAGCACATATGGGAAAAAATATATACAAATAACTTCTAATAAAATCCATGGGAAGTATTGTGGAGATCATAGACCTATAATATATTCTCTTTCTGAGAAGCTGAACATATTATAGTTATTCCAACATTTTAACATGTCCTTCAGATGTTACTAAGTCAGGTAAGTGCATTCTGTTCACGTATGTACCTGCATGATAAATGAAGCGTGTAATATTGATAATAACAGTAATGATAGCTAGTATTATATAGCACTTTAAGGATTGCAAAGCACTTTACATTTGTTATCTCATTTGATCCTCACAACAACCCTATGAGGAATATGCTATTATCCCCATTTTACAGATGAGGAAACTGAGAAGAAGAAAAAAACAATTAAATGGCTTGCCCAGGGTCATATAGTTAGTAAGTGTCTGAGGCAGGATTTGAACTCAGGGCTTCCTGACTCTAAGTCCTATGCTCTATCCACTGTGCCAACTAGCTGCCTGCAAAATATAATTATATTATTCACTTGTTCATCAACTTGGTATACATCAATAGATAAATTCCTATTAAAGTAACCAGAAGCATTTTCAATAAAGGCAACCTACTATCCATAAAAATAATAGTAACAAATCCTATTTCTTAATTACATTATGGTTTACCAAGTACTTGCCTCACAGAAACCCAGTGAAGTAGGTAGTATAAATACCATTAGTCCCATTTTACAGGTAGTTTAATCAAGGTGCACAAAGAAGTTCAAGTGGCCTGGCCAGGCTCCCATAGATGGTTTAAGTCCAGAAGCTATGAATGAACTTCAGACCCTGTTCCTTTCGCTAATCCTTCTTCTTCTCACATGCACCAAGGGCTCTCATAGCGTGCTTCATAGAAGACAGATCTTGTAGGGCTGAACTTCTTTGGAGAACCACTACACTGACATTTGAATTGTGGTGTCACCCAATACTGTAACCTTGGAGGAATGGAAAGTCTTATGGTTGGGAACTCTAACTGTACCTTTCTTTTCCCAGAAAGCAAACTCAGAAGATTTAGAGCAGGAAGGAGAGTTAGAGATCATCTAATCTAACCCCCTCATGTTCCAAAGGAAGAAACTGAGGTCCAGAGAGAGGAAGTGACTTAATTGTGATCACATGGGGAAAATTGAGGGAGATGAGATTTGAATCCAGCACTTTTGAGTCTTTCTGTTATATCTCCAAATATGATTTAAGTACTATGACTTCTCTCATAAGAATACTCTAGGATAATTGACTCTCCTTGCCCACCCCCCTACATTTGGACCAATCGTATTGCCATCAAGCCATCAGGAGCTAACAAAGGTGCATCTACCTTTATTCCTTCTTGGTGACAGAACAGCTGAAGCGCACTTCCGTTGTTTTCCGGGAAGGTGGTTATGTGAAGATTAAATGCCGGGGACCTTCGTTCTCTTTCCTGAGAAAAAGATTTTGTTTAAAAACGACTTTATTTGGTTATGGATTATTTTCCTTTTTTTGACATACATCCAAAATAAAAGCCATGAATTCTAATCAGTGAAGAGCTTACTAAAAGCAAACACATTCATACTGTCGTATCCTTGCCCTTCAAAAAACCATGGTGTTTTCATGCCTCTCCAATCCATTAAATGTTCTTTTCAAAATTTATTCACATCTCAAGTGCCTCCAGTTTCACCCATTTAACTAGGAAGGAATAGTAATCATAGGATTAAACATTGCTCAATGACACTTTTAAATTTGCTGAGTTATACTATTTTAATGTAAGCTCCTTATGCTAAGTGACTGTGTCTTATTTATCTTTGTACCTCGCCCAGTGCCTGGTTCATTGCTCAGTACACAGTAAGTGCTTAATAAATGGTTGGTGAATGAATGGATGGATGATGAAAACATCAGGAACTACTAATAAATTCAATTTCAATAAATATTTCCACTAACATTTTCAACCACACTGCCATAAATAAACTTGTTGCTAGAAAGACAATGAAGGCAAAACCACCTTTTGTTAAGTTTGGAAATTCAGAACTTATTCCCCAAGAAGTGTTTTTCAATCCTACATACAAGTGGTGGAAGGTAAAAAACCAAAAACAAGCAAACAAAAGGCAGGATCAGATTAAAGCATGAGTTATGGAGGTTAAATTATGCTATCTGATCCCCTCGGGGAAAATACTTGGCACTTTGTATGATTGCGTTTGATATCACCATCGTAGATGGATCTGACGAATGTGATGTTGAGGTCAGCATCAACAAAGACAAGTTCTTAAAACTGCCTTGAAAACAAGTATTGATTAATAGAAGAATAATATTCTAATGTTAGAACTATTATTTTTGTCCTCTCCAATTGAATCAAGCCAAGAAATCAGTGGAACTCTTCAGAAATCTGCCAAATGAACAAATTTATCCAGAACAAATCATACATTTGGAGGTCAAGTTCAAAACCTGCAATAGCTTGAAAGGAAGCATCATCATTTCATTTAAAGAAGCCCCAAATGGACTAATCTGAATTTGAACATCTAATTGGGGGGAGGGGGGTAATGTCCCTGTTACCATGAAGAACAAAGACTTTTGACTCTTCCATTCTCATCTCACATCCCACTGAAATGATCAACTATAGAGAAAAACAGCATGATAAAAGAATGAACACATTTTGTACAAACAAACTTAAAAAAATAATTTGGACTGGTTTCTAAAAACTTTAAAAGACAGTAGGGAAAGATAAAAACCTGGATACCAGTAGGTTTTACAATCATAGTTTTCTAGATGTACTTTTTTTAAACTTGGGAAAAAAATCTCCAAGCATAGGATGTACCTTTTCAAGAATAGGTTCTTAGCAATTCTACAAGTCTTAAGTGTTATCCTGTTTTTATTTTCAATGGAGGTTTTCTTAAATTAAGTGCATAATTTAATCTGTGTCCAAAGTAGCCAAGTGACACATTAAAATTTAATACTCAACAATAATATCGGGACACATTCCATGACAGCATAAAATAAAAGATGTTAAAGGTTGGGAAAACCATAATTGTGACAGGAATCAAGACTACAGAGTGGAAGCTGGAAGAATGACAAGATGGTATCCACTGATATGGTGGACAATAGATGGAGAAGAAAGGTGTGATTGAAAGATGTTAGAGAAAAGTCTATGGGACAGCATCACTATGAGTATTTTAGAAAATATGCAAACACATAAAGAGATGGTGCTAGAAATGATAATGATGTTTTCAGAGAGAAAAAAAGGGCATCATTCCAGCGAATTTGCATGAGCATCAATGAAAGCTGGTGAACATGAATGTGCCAATGTACCACAAAGCAACACAGCCTGAGGGAACATCCAAATATAATTCAACAGAAAGGGCACTCATCACACTGGATAAAACAAACATTGTTTCTCAAGGCTGTTGGGAAAGTCTAGGAGAAACATGGCTTCCATGCTTGAGAATTCTGCACATTGCATCCCTCTCCACTTGTATGAGCACATCGTAGCTTTTGGTGTAACTGACAATTTCGGATCCATCACTTGACTAAAGCAGCAGCAATTTGGAAGAGCTACTGCACAAATCAGCCCTTTTTAATGCATCTCAACTTACCTTGCATTAGTGAAGACAAATAGAAAACTGGCTGTAATTGACATTAAACACAGTACAGATTCAGGTGCTGGCTGGTGTCATAGCCTAACACTGCAAAATGTGATATTCGCTGCATGCAAGATCACTTCCAAAAGTGTGTTATTAATTGAAAAAGTGCTACTCTCCAAGTCTGTAGTTTGCATACCAGGTGATCATACATGCAGGAAAGGAGTAGTTATGGAAATGAAACACAAATAAAAAAGGCAAAATATTGCAAAAACAAATTATTTTATTAAGTGCAAAACAAGCTATACGCAATAAATAGATTAGCTCTTTTACATCCTCGGATACTTCTATGAGCATTCTCTCCAAAACATATTAAGGCAGTGAAATTATTCTGAACATACAGAGGAAAGAAAAAAAAGTATAACATTTCCCCTTTATACATGCTTTAGACAGCAGAGAACTTTACATGAATTTCAGTTTGGGTTCAAACAGAATTTCTGCTCCGTTTGAGAGTTTACAACAGATAGAATCTCTTACTTCCAGTTCTAGTACTCTGAATTCTAACAGCTCATTCTGGTCTTTTGCATCCTGCATCTCATTCTTCAGTTGACTCGTCTCCATTTCCATCCTGTAAATCTGAAGGAAAACATGAGACATTAGTCTTAATGAGCATTACAATCAGTGAAGGCCACTGGTCGCCTTCTCCCTTGTGAGACAATGAAATCCCAAAGGGTAATAATAATTGCCAATAAAATGGGCCCAGGTCACAGATGAGAAGTATTAGCTAGTTCACTATATTCATTAAGTTGGGGAATAGGAGATCCAGGAAATCAAATAAGGCAGAAGAGGCAAGTCAATTTGATTCAGATAGAAGATTCCAGGAAATACAGAGGGGATTCAGGTATAATCTACAAGCTTTGGAGGAGGGAATTATTGCCACTAAATAACCTTTCAGGTGCTTCTGACTAATTCATGGAAAATAAATAGTGGTGTGTGGGGACAGGAGGAATGGGTAGTATACAGGTAGGGTAACTCACATGGGGTGGATCATAGGATCTAGACCTGTAAGGAATTTCAGTGCAAAGAATAATGAATTTAAAATCTGGTGTCTTGGATTCAAATCCCAGCTATCCTATTGCTATCTGTGTGTGTGTGTGTGTATGTGTGTGTGTGTGTGTGTGTTTTGAGGGGTAGTACACAGTTTCCTCATCTGTGAAATGAGGTGTTGTACTATATAACCTTCCAGATCCAAAAACCTATGAAACTACAATCATCTAAGTCAACTCCCTTATTATACAGTGGAAGGAAGGTAGTAAACATTCATAAAATACCTACTATGCTCCAGGCACTGTGCTAAGCACTTTATAAATAATATCTCATTTGATTCTCACAACAACCTTGGGAGATGGGAGCTATCATTATTCCCACTTTGCAGATGATGAAACTGAAGCAGATAGAGACTGTGATTTATCCAAGGCCACACAGCTAGTAAGTCACTGGATCTGAACTAAAGCCCACCTGACTCCAGCCCCACAGCTCTGTCCATTGTGCTGCCAAGTGGCCCCAAGAAACTGAGGCCCTGAAAAGAAAATGACTAGTTGACATGAAGATAAATAGTTGGGAAATACCATTACTGAAATAGATTCTCCCCCTCATAGTTTTGAGTAGGGTGTGTTCAAAACTATATACTCAAAAAGCAACTTACTGAATTCCTATGAGAGACTTCCCTCTTGCTTTTACTTAAAATTTATGATTCTATAATCTAGAATTAAAGAGATAAATACATTTCTATAAATATAAAAGATAAACATGCAAGTCCATTATCCAAGGACTTGCCAAAGCATAGAAAGATTCATCAGAAGAGGGTTGGACATTAAGTGATGACCTTTTTTTTTTTGGCTGTGACTTTAAAAATGCTGTCTACTCAAGGCCCAGAGGGTCTGAGAACTGTGGTAGTGAAGGGAACACAATAAAAATGCAGCCACAGTTCTTGTGAAATAGGTAAGTACACACACACACACACACACACACACACACACACAAAGGAAGATTTGTTGTTAATCCTTCATCTTCAGTGAAAACTGCCTTTAAAAAAACTTATTAAATTCCTATATCACATTTTCTGTTTCTTTTAAGGAATTCTCATCATGTTAGTTATAACTCAAAAAAAAATCCTGGTTTATTTATGACCTAAAGCCCCACTCTGTAAAATGTTGCAATGCCATGTTCTTTCATATGTGGCCCAAAGATTGAAGCCTTCATTTCCAAGACCTGACTGACTATCTAAGAATAAGTTACAATCTACAGAAAGCCCATACTTCTTTAAGGACATTATCGATCTATATTAAATGGGATTCTTATCATCTAAAAGACTATTACATCACTATGGTTCCCAGTTCATGTATTTCCTGAGAAAGTGGAGTTTACCATTCACAGAAAATGGTTCTTCCATCAATTTGAAGGAGGAAAAAATAAAATTTCAGAGGAGCGTATTGTTATGTGTTTAAATCACCAAGTTTCTGATACAAAACTATCCCAACATATTTTTTTAATCCTCTGGTAGATCACACTTTCATTGATCAGCAACCCAAGACCATAGCTGAGACCAAGATTAGAGCTTTTGATCTGATCTCAGCCTTTGTGGAAGAGATCTGGAGATGGGCAAGGGGATAGGGGAAGGTAAACAAGAAATGACCCTGTTGGGAATTCTTTTAATTTAAAGTTTTGAAGTTATTAATCCAAGTTATCCAGGGTTGTACAGTAATAGAACATTGGATTTGAACTCAGCAGATTTTGGGTTGAATCCTGGCCCAGTCATCTATGTATAACCTTGATCACTGATTCTTTCTAGGTCTTGGTTTTCTCATATGGAGAATGACAGGGTTGAACTAGAGACTTTAAGACAGTTTTAAGACATCTGTCTCTAAATCTTATCTCTTGCTGGCCTTGATTTTATCCCAGCCTTCTCTAGGACCATAGAACCACAAACCTTCAGAAGCTCACTAAAAATAGGTGTCTGAACAAAAACTTCTTGTACATCATCCTTTACAATTCATCAATCTGCAACAGTCTTTGATCACCTTCAGTCAATGACTATCCATCATTGAAGACCTTCTGTTATGGGGAGCTCACTCTCTCCCAAGCCAATACCTTCCAGTTTGGGATACCTCTAATTGTTAGGAAATTTTTCTTTTTCCCAAATCTTCCTTTCTGTAACTTTCACTCATAGCATCTAGTTCTATTCTCCAGAGTCAAGCAGAACAAGCTTAAACTTTCTTCTGTGTAATAATCCTTCAAATACTTTAAGACTGAGCTATCATGTTCCCTGAGTCTTCTCTTCTCCAGGCTAAACATTTCCATGTTCCTCCAACTGAATGACATATGTGCAGTTTTCAGTCTCATCCCCCACCCCAATCCCACTCCTCATCTGGCTGGTATCACTCCTTTAGAAGTATTCCAGCTCATTAGCAGCTTAAATATAATCAAGGGAGAGATCATTCCTATGGGATGCCCAGAGATAACTGAGATCAGTACCCTGTAGCATTTAGCATGGTGCCTGGCAGATAGTAGGTATTTAGTAAATGTGAGTTGACTGGTAGTAGAAATAGTATCAATTTGCCAAGAACAAAGATCAAAAAGGGTGTAAAGCATTCTGCGGAATCTTTACAAAGGAATACAAGCAGAATAAGTTTATAAACCTGTAGAATTTAGATCTGGAAAGGACCATCCAGGTCACCTAACTCAACACATTATTTTATAAATGGGGAAACTGAGGCCCAGGGAGGGGAAATGACTTACCTACAAAGGGTAAGGATCAGAGCCAGAGAATGGAAGACAGGGCTTCCAAATCTCAGCTCAGTACCCTTCATTCTCAGCTGTAGAAGCTGATGTCCCCGACCTCTTCCAGTTTCTGCCCAAGAATTTCTTTCCCTCCCTCATATTTCTCTGTACACTGCTTTCTTTGTTTCCTTAGTTACTACAGATCAGAGTAAACCCTTTATACATAATAGAGCTGATTCAATGGATTTAGGATTCTGAAGACATACCTTTTCTAGTAGATCTTGGTTTGTCCTAATTAGCAGCTGCTTCTCTTCAACCCATTTTGAGTCCTAAGGGGAAAAAAGATTAAATATGTTCATACTTATTTAAACAAACTATTTCAAATGTTGTTGTAATTTGCATAGAAAACAGTAAGAGAAAATAGACATAACAGACCCAGAATTAGCCTCAGTGTCAGGCAGAGCAAAGTTTTCTAATATACTGGGTATGTGACTACAGCCAACATCATGTAAACTCTCAGTGCCTCAGGCACATTTTGCAGAACAGGTGGTGATCTGCTTTAGTAAAGGGAGTTTCCTCTCTAAGGAGTCCTTTCAGTAGTGAAATCGAATGTATGCCAAAAAATTATAATAGCAGCTACATGGGGTTCAAGTCCCAAAAACCTTTTCTAAAAGGGAATCCACTTTGCTGGGCTTCCTTTCCTCTCTTTGCTCAGCTCTTAACTCTGATATATCTGTGACCCTAACAGTGTAGGTACTCTCTCTCCTGATGCAGATTGACACACATCCATACCATCTGTCTTAGGAGATTCTGATCCATATCCTTCCACAAATGCTCCACTGAAGAAATACCTAGTGTATCTGGAGGCCTTCTGGCACATTCAGTATTTAATGGGTATAAACACAGCACTCAAGCTGCCCTTCCTTCATCCCGCATTCTTGCTTCATGACTGGCCCACTGCCTTTCTGGTTATACTCTTCTGATTTGGTTATTCAACCAGTTTGGATTCCACCCAACTCTTGGGTTGTCTGGCCTTCCATCTTGTCCTTAGAACATTATGAGAGACTTGTTTCAAATGCCTTGTTTTAAATTATTATACTGCACAATACCTATGTCATTGCTGACCTAGACTCCTCCTATGCTTCCTCTAGGATGATTTAGAAAGAGGTCAAGTTGCAGGCTATAGTAAAGTTGAGCAGGAATTTGAGATTACAGGATAATGGCAAGAAGTGTGTAAGATGGAACATGGTTAGAAGATTACAAATTTGGATAAAGGATGAATTTGAGTCTTTGATCACCCATCAGCTGTTTCAGACTACCAGCACCTCCATCTTGCTCCCTGGCTGCCTAGGGCTCTTCACATGGAAACCTTTTTTTTTTTAGTATTTAATTTATTTATTTTTAGTTTTCAACATTTACTTCCACAAAATTTTGAGTTCGAAATTTTCACCCCATCTCACCCCTCCCCCACACCAAGATGACATGCATTCTGAATATCCTTTCTCGTAGTCTGCCTTCACTTCTATCTCTCCCCCTCTTCTCTTATCCCTTTCCCCTTCTATTTTCCTTTAGGGCATGATAGATTCCTGTACCCCATTTCCTGTATTTCTTATTTCCCAGTTGCATCTGAAAATATTTTTTAAACATGTGTTTTTAAAACTTTGGGTCCCAAATTTTCTCCCTTCCTCCTTCCCCACCCACCCTCATTGAAAAGGCAAGCAACTCAATATAGGTTATACATATGCAGTTACACAAAACACTTCCATAGTAGTCATGTGAAAAACTAACTCTATTTCCCTTACTCCTATCCTGCCCCCCCATTTATTCTATTCTTTCTTTTGACCCTGTCCCTCTTCAGAAGTATTTGCTTCTGATTACCCCCTTTCCCAATCTGCCTTCCTTTCTATCATTCCCCTGCTCTCTTGTCCCCTTCTCCCCCTATTTTCCTGTAGGGTAAGACAGATTTTCACATGGAAACCTTTTGCCTGCTGAGATTATATTTTTGGAACAATATTTTCTGAGTCCCTTCCTTTCCAAAGGGAAAAAAATATTTACTTGTCCAAGGTCCTGTTCCCTCAGGACCCTTTTCTCTTTTAGGTGATAACTAGATATTAATCCCTACCAATTTCTGGTCACATCTCTGATAATCTATATTTTAAAGGTGATCTTCAGGAGTGAGCTTTGACCAAAAACAATAAGTCCCAAGATTGTATTTTGATGCATCACACCTAGCCCAACTATCTTAGTCCTTTAAATCATTCTACATATTTAGCTGCCTATTTGCCAAAGTTGGCCCAGGAGGCAGGTAAGAATCATACTACAAAGGTAGTAAAGGAATATTAGAAGTAATAGGCAGACAGTGTAACCTCAGAAAATATCTCTAGAATCAACCTAGGAAGCAGTGACCTTCAATTTGTGAAATATCAATTTAACAAAAGAAATATTCTACCCTAGAAAATATAATTAGAAATAACTTTGACCACAATAGTTGGTGTTTCTATAGAGCTTTGGTATTTATAAATAATTGCTCAAAACAATTCTTGGAAGTTGGTAGAATATATATTATTATTCTCCCTACCTTACAGATGAAAAAAAACTGAGGCTCAAAGATATCAAGTAATTTCCCCAAAGTCACACAGCTGAAAAAGTGTCAAAGCTGAAATTCAAACCCAATTCTCTTTACTTCAAGTTCAGGGTTCTTCCTATCATGCTGCCTCTTCATTTACTTTCTGATTCAAAATCCTTCAGTGGGTGCCCAATGCCTATCTGCTCAAATCCAAGCTCTTGAACCTAGTATTCAAGATCCAAACCATATTTCCAGCCTTATCTTACATTACTGCCCTTCCCAAACTAGATGACTTTCTGTCCCTAAATATGGTCTGCATTCTCATATCCCCAAGTCTGTGCTCATGCCATAACTCCCATCTAAAGTGTCCTTCCCTTTAAACTCTATCAAAATCCTACAGATCCTTCAAGGCCCAGATCAGATACCACTTCCCCCATGGAACATTCTTTAATTCTTCCCACACTCTAAAATAATATTTCTTTATTTTTCCTTGCAAGGTATTCATGGCATTTATTTCATCCTATTTCAATAGCAGAATTTTTTGTGTAGGTCTTTGGTCACTCCCTCCCTCCTAGAATATAAAAGACCTTAAACTTAGGTATTACATCTTATGCATTTTTGCATCTCACATATCACAAAACTAGCAGATATTTGAAGCAAGATTTAAACAGAGGTCTTCTTTCTTGTGAGAAAATCTTGTATGTTTATCCAATTGGTAATTAAAGAAAGGAACATGATGGTGAAATACTATAAAAATTTTCAAAACAAATTATATGCAAAGAGAGCTACATGCCTTCAACTAGATCTGATGTGAGTATTTTTTGATTGTATAGAATCACAGAACATCAGAGCTAGAAGGAATCTTAGCAACCATTCCTCATTTTATAGTTGAGGAACCAAAACTCAGAGAGGGGAAAGGATTTGCCCAAGATCACAAGATTCTTCTTAGCCATGAGAGTACTTTGTCCTTTGGTAGAGGATACAACCAATTGTACCTTCTCATCTGGTACAATGAAAAAGAATGCTGATTCTAAAGTCAGAAGGCCTGGATTCAAATCAGAAATTTACTGCCTGTGTGATTCTGGACAATAATTTTGTCTCTTCGGGCATTAGTTTCTACATATGTAAAATGAGGGGGTTGTAATTGATGGTACATTTAAGGTCCTTTCTCACTCTAAATCTGGTTCTATTATTCTCTGATGAAATACTTAATGGGAAATTCTATATCTATTTCTCACTAACAAGTAGGAAGTGGTTAGTTCCATGGAAATGATGGGAGTCTACAAAATCAACATCATAAATATAAGTGGGGAAGGCTTGCTTAGACAAGACTTGTTCTAAAAAAGATCTTGGGATTTTAATGGACTGCAATCTGAGTCAGCAGTGTTATGTGGCAGCCAAAAAAGCAAATGCCATCTTGGGCTTGATTAAAAGCAGCACAGCTTCCAGGAGTAGGGAGGAGCAATATGCTTCTGTCAGACCTTCTCTGGAGAATTTTGTTCAGTGCTGGACACCATAGTTTAAGAAGGGCATTGATAAGTTGGAGAGTGGGAAGAAGAAGGCAACCGGGATGGTGAAGTGCCTTGAGTCAATACAATATAGGGATATTTTGAAGGAACTGAGAATGTTTAGTCTGGAGAAGAGAAGATTCAGGAGGGACATCATAACTGTGTTTAAGAAATAACATCA